CTCCAGAGTGTGGCTAGAGTCACTGACACCACGGGCCCCCCCCCCCCCCCCCGGTAAGGCAAACCCCAAGTTTTATGGTGAGGCTGGCAGGGGGAGGAGGAGCCGCCGTTGCCTCTGCAAAGAGGATTCTCCCCCCAACCAGGACTTTCTCTCCCTCCCCCCCCGCAAAGCAAACTCCAAGTTGCCTGCTCCTTCCTCTCTGCCTCCCGCCCGCCCACAGCCCCATACCAAAGTTTGAGAAGCAAGGGGAAAGTTTGTGTACTGTGCTCGGGGCACAAAAGCAAGCCGCCGCTGTTGCCAGCATCATGGCGAGCAGGCCAGCTGGGTCGGAGGAGGCCGCCTGACCAGCTCCCTACTCCTCCGGCAGCTCGCTTCTTCCCCAGAGAAGGGATGGCGGCGTACAGCAGAAGTGCTCTCGGCCCCAACCAGGTGGTGGCTTGCTTGGGCTCCTCCCTACTGGGAGCCGCAGGCTGCAGGGGGAAGGGCAAGAGCGACCAGCCGGCTCAGGTACATGCGGCAGCATTTGCTGGCTGGGTGGCTGGCTGCCCCATCCGCTGCTCCTTCCCTGGTGTTGGCTCGGCTGGCGGTGCAGCAGCAGGTGTGACGGGGGTCGGATGATGGGCCCAACCACAGGCAGCACAGTGGTGGGGGTCAGGTGGGAGGGAACGGTGGCTCCCAGCAGAAAGGAGCCCAGGCAAGCTGCACGTTCAGAGCTTCCCCGGCAGCGCACTTGGCCCTGCCATCTTGGCAACCCCATGCGCTGGCCAGGGAACGGCTGTCTCGCCATGGAACGGGCCAGTACTTAGTTGTCCTCCATTAAGAACATGGAGGAGGGGAATGTTTGGGGATGCGCATGCGCAGTGGGGCACATGCGCAGGGGGATCATTGTGCGCATGCACAAATGGGGGCGCGCATTGCATTATGGGTGTCGGCACATGGGAGCGCTCGCACGCTCAGACTTTTGGCACACAATGCCAAAAAGGTTCACCATCACTGATCTAGGATGCTGTTTGAAAGCAGGCTTGTTTTATTAACTTTGTAACAGTAAATTTACCAATAATTTTCAGATAATATTTACAACATAAGCACAGTCTTACATATGTTATCCTAGATAATATATTTCTTGCAACTGCAGAAATAATATACAAATCTAAGAACTGTGGGCACGAACACCCAATTTTACCCCTAACCTCCCCAAATAAAGTGTTTGAAGTTAGTTAAAATGTGGCTTTCCAGGCCAATTCTGTACAACTACAATATAAATCTTATGATTAACTCCTGAACATTTTGTCTTCTTTTCCCACTTCTTTGGGGAGAAGGGTTTATTTCCTGTCGCTCTCCAAACAATCAATTTCCTTCCTGTGTGTTTGCACATACAAAAATCCAAATATTTGGTTTCCAGTCTACAATAAGAACGCTGCGCTTCTAAGAAAGCAATCACCAGCCACAAAAGATCAAGTCAGAATCCATGTGGCTAATATCAACCAATGCTTCCAAATTTGGCTAACATGGCTGGCAAACACACTGAAGTTCTTTCAGCAAAGGGAGTTGCAGGCACATCAGATGAGCCTCAAGTATCCAACTCCAGGCTTAGTTTTTTATTTATATCCTAGTTTGCAGTACTATCTGAGAAAGGAAGTGGATTACCTCCTGCTGGAATGAATTTCCTCCACATCCAACATCTGCATCTGTCTCCTCAATTTCCAGAAATATCTCGTTCTCTCATTCTGTTGAAGATGAAGAACCATATCTAAAAGCTGTACCCCTTAACTAAAGATATCTGGATGCCTGTGGCACCAAGGATTGGCCAAAGGCAACATTTTTTGGCTGATATGTACATTTTAAATCTCAAGGGCATGGCATTTTCTGTCACGGGAAAGTTTTACATATTCTTAAAAACAAATGCAACCGTGAGTGAGGATAGCCACAAATAATGCATTTACTAGAAAGCAAAGTCTTGAGGTTATTCATTGCTGCCCTCTAAGTCCCCTTTTCTCCACCACCTTAGCTTAACTCTTCCTTCCTACGTGGGCAGTCTTGCAACCGAAGCACAGGGCTAAGTCCTGTACTCTAGAAATATAAAAATGCTTGGAATGCACTTTTGGAAGTAAACAATTCTGGGGCTAAAATGTGTGCCTTTGCAGCACAGCCAATATGGTTTGTGAGCTCCTTGAAGACTGGAAAGATTTATTTTTCTTTTAGCAAAATTAAAATAGGAGCTGGGAAGAAGTATTAGATACATTTGACACCTTGAGTTATTTATAAAAAAAATAAAAATATGCATAAATACAAGATACATCTCTGAGCACAGGGAAATAATACTATTACTGGTATACTGTAGATTCAGGATCATGGAGGTGCTGAAAAGACAGAATGGGAGAATATACAAGCCTCTATTCAACTAAGGAATTATCTCTAATGTAATTTTAGTATAACATTTCACAGCTTCCTCAGCAACATCTTCTCTGGAGATGCAAAGAGAGAAAAGAGATACTACTAAGAAAAAGAGAAACCTTGCTTTCCATCTAAATAATTAGATTTCTTTACCCTTGCCTGGAAATTACCTCTATATAGGTAAAGGTATCTTCATAAAGCAAACTAAATCTGGTTCTAAAAAACATTTCTCTGTTGCTGGAATTCCATTCTTGTATCTATATGGGATCCATGAAGCTATTTTTCACTGCCGCAACACAGGATATCCCCATTCTGGGAGTTCCACAATTGTAAAACTTTATTTGCTGTCACACTGCCTTTGATTTTCAGCAACAAGATCAGCATCAGGAACATCCCTGTTCTGATCTGAATAGTAACCAACCTTAATTTCGCAGTGAATAACTGAGCCTATTTCACTTTACATCTGATTTAATTGTGTACAGTAAACTTGCACACTACCTTATGCAAGGAGGACCATTATAGCTGAGTGGCAAGTTGCCAAATAACCAGCAAGCTCAACAATGTGAAGTGGTCAGCCTCTAAATTTCCTCTCCCTTACCTGATCTATAGGCAACCAAGGCAATTCCAGATCAGGCTGAAATGAATAAAACCAACTGTCTCATGCAACAATGTTGGAACTCTTCCTAAATTAACTCATTTCTATCTTTCCTTCATTTCACCTGGCAACAATAAACCTACAATGAGTGGAGGTGGCGCAGTGGTTAGGGTGCAGTACTGCAGCTACTTCAGCTGACTGCTACTTCAGCAGATCAGCGGATCAAATCTCACCGGCTCAAGACTGACTCAGCCTTCCATCCTTCTGAGGTGGGTAAAATGAGGACTCAGATTGTTAGGGGGCAATATGCTATTTAGTATACTGTCTTTGGTGTAAGCCACCCAGAGTCCTCGGAGAGTGGGAAAGAAAGAAAGAAAGAAAGAAAGAAAGAAAGAAAGAAAGAAAGAAAGAAAGAAAGAAAGAAAAAAAGAAAGAAAGAAAGAGAAAGAAAGAAAGAAAGAAAGAAAGAAAGAAAGAAAGAAAGAAAGAAAGAAAGAAAGAAAGAAAGAAAGAAAAGACACCCTAAAAGACCAGAAAGTGTGTCTCATCCCTAGAGCATTTCACACACTGGGATGTGAGAGTGAAACCTCTGAGAGTGCCAGAGCCATCTTGCTTCCACTGACTGCTTTCACGCAAGCCTGCAGTGTGTCACATGATCTTGAGGCTTAGCCAGAATCTATTAGTCAGAAGGTTTCACAATCTCTCACTCTCATTTCTTGTTTTAATAGCAAACAAGGATGGTTCTGTTTGAACCTTTAAGAAAGAGAGAGATAGAGAAAAGAAAAGGGGAAAAAAAACCAGGCAGGGAAAGAGTATCAGCTTCAAGGGGCAGCAGTAGTATAAGAATGGCAAAGACCATCCGTCAGTGGTGGAATGAGAGCATTCTAGTGGTTTCTTTCATGCACAAATCATCCCGCAGGAATAAGCTGACCAAGGAAAGAGAAGGCAGTCCATATTAAAAAATGGGGGAGAAAGACGTGAAGGGGATAAGAAAAACTGATAAAATCATGTGAGTTATTGCATCAGATTAAAACCAAGGAAATTACAGAAGAGGAATTATTTACTGAAGCATATCTACTGTTAAGAGAATGGGCATGGAGTGCCACAAAGAAGCTTATCTGATCCTGCAGGTTGCAATATAGCCCCCTTTGGGCCTCCCCACTCCCAAAATTATCTCTTCACCTTGGGATTTATTTTATTTTATGGCAATCTACCCTACCCTTGGACATTCAGTTCTAGCTAAGGGAGGTTTACTTGAAAATAAGCCATCCTGGATTTCACTGGCCTTACTTGGAAGGAAGGGCTTCCAGCAGAAACTGGCACTGCAGTGCTCTTTGTGTGTGCAAGGAGGCCTAGCCCGGAGTGCCCCGTGGGTCTGATGCCAACCTAGGGAGCATTCAAGGAAGAGATGCTCAACATCCTTGGAGAGAAATCTGAAAGGTCACACAGAGGCTCTTCCTGCAGAATGACGGGCAAGCAGGGAAAAGGAGGCAGAAGCTGGGCCTGGCTGTGGGTTCAAGGTCTGGTCTTCACTGCAGGGCTTTGGGGCATGGAAACCTCTGGAAGAAAGGCTTGAGTTCCCTTCCCAGGAAAATGCACAGAGCAGGAGGAAGGGGCACCCTTTTTGATGCCAGGATGAGATCTGAAAAAGGAGGGGCTGCATCCCAGCCCGCACCCAAGAAGAGCTCCTGCATCGCCCTCTCTCCCGCCCCCCCAGCATCATCACAACGCACGGACAAAATCGCCCATCATCCCCAGCCAACATGGGATTTGCAATCCAATAGAGGGCTCCGAAATTGGACCTGCTGCACCCAGGCGGATCCTCTCCTCTTGCCCAATGAACAAATCTTAGGTTTCCTCCTTTCGGGAGAGAAGAAGCCGAGCCTATCCGAGGGATCCCGGGCGGAGGTGACCCAAATTGCGCCCCCTCCCCCGTCTTTTTCCAGCTCCATCAAGAGCTAAAAGGAGAGGCTCTCGTGGAACTAAGGCGCTGCCGGGCCCCCATACTCACTGAGGCGGGGTTGAGAGATGTAATCGCGGGTGACGGCGGCCGCCTGATCCCGCGTCGCGCCTCCGCCGCTCAACTCCGAGACGGCGCCGTTCACCATCCCTCGCATAGCCCGCATCGCCGCCATCTTATCCCGTCTGGACTGCCGCGTGACTGCGCAGGCGCTGATATAAGCGCTTTGCGTCCCCCCCCACTCTACCCCGCCTTTCTCTCTCACGCCAACCCGGAAATCGCCGGGAAAGGAGAGGGGCGGGGCTGGAGGAGAGGAGCTGGCCAAAGTGCTGAAGGGCGGGGCCAGGAAAACGCGAGGGAGACGCGCGGGCAAAAGCAGGGCGAGACGCAGAGCGGCCGCGTGTGCAGAGCGCAGAACAGCAGCTCCCTCGTCTGCAGGTTGCAGTGGAAGCCATAGAAGCGAGGAGACGCTCCCGACTGGGCCCAAGGTGTTCCCTGCCCACCCCAGGTGCTACAAAGACAGGCATGCCTAAATCGGGGATCAAGTTGCATCAGAGAGCTGGGACAGTTAGTTTCCACCAATCCCTGGTACTGCAAAGTAGCTGAACTTACCTTCTGTTATACAAAACCGCTTCATACAACAACGAAAGGGCCTCTAAGCACCTGCAGAGGGACTTCTCCAAGTGCCACCTGTACAGCATAGAGAAGTCAAAGCTCCCAATCTGGATTTTGCTATTTAAAACTATGTCATAGAGCAGGGAGATTTGCTCTATATTGTATATTGTAGTGAATTACCGTGAGGCAAGATGGATGGCTAATACATTTTATAAATAAATAAATGAACAAGGATCATGTCCTTCCCTTGAAAGTAAAGGCAAAATTCATGTTGTAAAATAGATTTATTTATTTATTTTTATTTATTTTATTAAATTTCTATACCGCCCTTCTCCCGAAGGACTCAGGGCGCTGAACAGCCACAAGATAAAACACATAAATACAAAAATTTAAAATAAATTAAAAACGAATTAAATAATTTGGCTGAATTTAAAATACCCCATAATTTAAAAACAAATTAAAATTTACATTTAAAAAGGGGAGAAGATTTAGGCCAGGCCAGCTTGATGAAATAAAAAAGTCTTAAGCGTGCGACGGAAGGTGCGCAGATCCGGGATCCTCCGTATCTCCGGGGGGAGCTCGTTCCAGATCGTAGGTGCCCCCACAGAGAAGGCTCTCCCCCTAGGGGCCGCCAGTCGACCTTGTTTGGCTGACGGCACGCGGAGGAGCCCCTCTCTATGGGAGCGTACTGGCCTGTTGAAGGCTATTGGTGGTAGCAGGCGGTCCCGTAGATAACCAGGTCCTAAGCCATGGAGCGCTTTAAAGGTGGTAACCAGAACCTTGAAGCGCACTCGGAAGGCCACCGGGAGCCAGTGCAGCTCACGCAGGAGAGGTGTTACATGGGAACTCCATGTCGCTCCCATAACCACCCACACGGCCACACTCTGCACCAGTTGGAGCCTCCGAGTGCACCTCAAGGGGAGCCCCATGTAGAGAGCGTTACAATAGTCCAGACAAGAGGTGACGAGGGCATGAGTGACTGTGTATAGAGAATCCCGATCTAGAAAGGGACGCAACTGGCGGATCAGGCGAACCTGATGAAAAATCCTCCCAGTCACGGCCGTCAAGTGCTCTTCTAAAGACAGCCATGAATCCAGGAGGATGCTCACGTTGCAAGCCCTTTCCATGGGGGCCAATGATTCGCCCCCCCAATAGTCAGCGATGGCACCAGCTGACTATATCGGGACATTGGAACCACAGCCACTCTGTCTTGGATGGGTTGAGCCTGAGCCTGTTTCTCCCCATCCAGATCCGTACGGCCTCCAGGCACCGGGACATCACTTCAAGGGCATCGTTGGAGTGGTCCGGGGTGGAGATGTACAGCTGGGTGTCGTCAGTGTACTGATGGTACTTCACCCTGAAACCACGGATGATCTCGCCCAGCAGCTTTACATAAATGTTGAACAAAAGAGGTGAGAGGACCAATCCCTGTGGCACCCCACATATAAGGGGCCTCGGGGTCGACCTCTGCCCCCCTGTCAACCAGACTCTGACTGGTCAGAGAGAAAGGAGGAGAACCACCGTAGTACGGTGCCTCCCACCCCCAACTCTTCCAACCGGTGCAGCATGATACCATGGTCGATGGTATCAAAAGCCGCTGAGAGATCTAACAGGACCAGGACAGAGGAGCAAGCCCTCCAGAGATCATCAACCAACGTGACCAATGCCGTTTTCGTGCTGTACCCAGGCCTGAAACCCGACTGGAACGGATCCAGATACGACGTTTCATCCAGGTACTGGGGAAGCTGTCGCGCAATCACACTCTCAACAACCTTCATGACAAAGCGGAGGTTGGAGACTGGACGATAATTAGCCAATACTGCCGGGTCCAGGGAGGGCTTCTTGAGGAGAGGCCTCACCACCGCCTCCTTCAAGGCAGCAGGGAAGGCACCCTCACCCAATGAAGCATTTATAATCCCCTGGAGCCAGCCTCGCGTCACCTCCCGGGAAGCCAGCACTAACCAGGAGGGACACGGGTCCAACAAACATGTGGTCGCGTTCAATCTACCCAGAATCCTGTCCATGTCATCTGGGGTCACAGGATCAAACTCATCCCAGATAACATTCTCAAGACCTGCCTCAGTCACCCTCACTGGACCTACCCAATCGGAGTCCAGACCTTCCCGAATCTGAGTGATTTTGTCATGCAGATATTGAACAAAATCTTCCCTCCAAGGGGTCCTCCCATGCTTCCTGGTGGAGCAGGGAGCGGGTCACCCTAAACAGGGCGGCCGGGCAATTATCTGATGATGCAATAAGAGCAGCAAAATGGGTACATTTTGCTGCTTTTATCACCACTAGGTAATTCTTAATATGAGATCTTACCAGTGTCCAGTCCGATTCAGAAAGACTAGCCCTCCAACTACTCTCTAGGCGTCTTTCCCTCAGCTCCTCGGTGAACCAAGGAGCCAGGTGAGATCGGCGCCGGGTCAGAGGCTGCAAAGGCACGACTCGATCCAGAGCTCCAGCGGCTGCCCTGTCCCAGGTGGCCACTAGGTCTCCAGTCGAGGCGTGAGCGAGATCCTCGGGGATTCGCCCAAGCTCCATCTGGAACCTATCAGGTTCCATCAGGCGCCTGGGGCGGTACCATCTTACCGGTTCCGCCTCCCTGTGGCGGGGTACCGCGGTTTGAAGGTCAAGGCGAAGGAGAGAGTGATCCGACCATGACAAGGGCTCAATGACTATGTCCCCTATCTCAAGATCACTTTTGAGTGATTAAGGTATCAAGGTACCTTAATCAGATTAAGGTAGCCTTGTCTACCTCTCAGGTTAGCAGCAGTCCTTTCAAAGAGCCTTGGTACTACAGTGGTTTAAAGCACCCTGTTATTAACACAGCTGCCTGCAATTTACTGCTGGTTCGAATCTCTCCAAGGCTCAAGGTTGACTCAGCCTTCCATCCTTTCTAAGGTAGGTTAAATGAGGACCCAGTTTGTGGGGGCAATAAGCTGACTTTGTATAAATATACAAAAGTATGAAGACTATTGCTTAACGCACTGTAAGCCGCCCTGAGTCTCCGGAGAAGGGCGGCATATAAATCAAATTTAAAAAAAAAGTGAATTATAAGCAATATAAACAGTTGCAAATAAAATACAAGCAATAGGAGAGAAAAAGAAATATTATAGGATTTTTTTTTTACCATAAGAGAGTCTATATCAATAGCTCTGCAGGTAGGGGTAGAAACGGGGTGGGAAAAGACCATTACTGTAGTGACTGCCAGTCTCAATATCCTTCTCTTAGAGTAGTCGGTGGAAATGAGTCCCAGCTACTGTATCCAGAGATCTTGCTATCTGGGGCTGATGGGAGTTTATTGGGTTTGGGAAAAATGTTTCAAAGAAATAGCACAGAGCACATTTTTGTTCTGAGAGCTAGTAAACAAAAGTAAATACCCTGGCACCAAAGCAAGAGACAGATGGAAACTGGATGAAGAGAAAGTCATTCAGTCTGTTGCATTTGCCTGGCAGGAGAAAGCAGCATAAGAATTAGAATACAAATTGGGTTTATATCAGTGGTGAAATCTGAACCGGTTTGCCACCGGTTCACTGGCCACGCATGTGCAGTGTGTGCCAACACGTGCTGCATGCGCACGCAAGCACAGTGTGAGACAAACACAGCTGCGTGTGCATGCACTGTGCACACGGAATGCACACTGGGCATGTGCACATGCGCAGTACGCACCAAACATGTGCTTTGCACAGAAAAAGGCTTGGGAAGGTAAGTAGAACAGCAAGGGGAGGGGACAGCTGTGCCATGCAATTTAGATTCACTAGAAAGCAGGATTTCCTGCTTTCTAGCGATTTTAAATTGCGCGGCACAGCTGATCATCGGAAATACCAGTTCAGAGGAATTGGTAGCTTTTTTTACTAACAGTTCGCACGAACTGGTAGTTTTTATCACTACTGGTTCGGCCGAACCGATGCGAACCGGTAGCATTTCACCACTGGTTTATATTTGATATACAGCCATCACTGGGATTATTTATATTATATATTATGTATAATATATTATATATATATATATATATATATATATATATATATATATATATATATATACACACACACACACACACACACACACACACACACACACACGCACACACACACACACACACATATCTTTTTTCCTTTTTCGTAGGCTTTTATGTGCATATTCTTTCTAGCCAGGTTTTACCTATGTAAACTTAGTTGTTCTACAGCCCTAGGTTCTATGAAATGTCATTCACAAGTTTCTGGGCCTTTTTTTCTGCTGACAAACTGCAACTTCTGTGTTGCTCTCTGGGAGACTCAGATAGCTATTTCTGCCTCTTAAGGCGCCTTCGGTGAGCCACACCCACAATATGCACATAAAAGCCTACGAAAAAGGAAAAAAGATACATTGCACCTTTACAGGGAGGATATCTGAGAAGTGGGTGTGGCTCACCGAAGACGCCTTAAGAGGCAGAAATAGCTATCTGAGTCTCCCAGAGAGCAACACAGAGTTGCAGTTTGTCAGCAGAAAAAAAGGCCCAGAAACTTGTGAATGAGATTTCACAGAACCTAGGGCTGTAGAACAACTAAGTTTACGTAGGTAAAACCTGGCTAGAAAGAATATGCAT